GACAAATCCCCTCAGAGATATCCCCACATGTCAGCCCGATCTTTAAAAAGAAAAAAAAAAGTTCCCCATGAAGATTCCCTTTTCAGATGATTGTATCAGGTTGACAAATGTAAGTAGTACCTGCCAGAGAAAGGAAACAAGATGAAAATCACAGCGTTTGCCATCGTCTACAATAAAATATTCCCACTAGAGATCATTTCAGGCTGTTAAGGTGAATTTGGCAGACTTGGAAAATCCCTAAAAACTTAACAGTTCTCATCCCAGGCCTGTGCAGTGAACCACAGAAGCCATGCTCCCCACCCTTCCAAGGTCCTGTGCTACCACCTTCAAGAGCTTGGCTCATCTGCAGTCCTCTGTTCTATGATCACTTTGAGGCTGGATTGTCTGTCCTCCTTGTCAGTCTTGTTAGCCAAGTCTAAGCCATATCGAAAGCCTTGATTTCCAAAAGGGGGCACTTTGAACATGAACTCCTCATTTTAGGTGAAAAGGTAGAAGAAAATTGAGGAGAGTGACGAGACATGCCAACCAAATGTAGTGTGTGCTCTTGAGTTGACCCTAGCCTCGGGGGGGGGGGGGGTGGTGGTGGTGGTGGTGGTGGTGGTAAAGACTGTTAATATGACAACTGATGAAATTTTAGCGTAGATTGTAAATTTAGTAATAATTCCATCTATGCTAATTTACCCAAGCTTGAAAATTGTACTGTAGTTATTTAAAAGATTATCTTTTTTTCATGAAAGCAAAGAACAAAGAATGCAGGGATAAGCGAGCTAGGGATGAGCTTTGTGGTGATGTTTTGTTTGTGCTCTACCAAATAAAGCTTGCCTGGAGATCAGAGTGCAGAGCTAGCCACTAGCTAACCATAGAGGTCTGAAGGTCTGCACAGACAGACAGACAGCAAGTGATATAGCTGGGCTGAGAGAGAATGTAAGGCAGGAGAAGACAGCAGCTCAGCCCTTTTTTGGAGTTAACAAGATAAGAATTGTTACTCTGATCTTTCAGCATTTACCTCAATATCTGGTTCTGGGTTTTTATAATTAAGACCAATTAGAGCTCATGCAACATAGCTCAGTTTGTAGAGTACTTGCTTAGCATATTTGAAGCCTTGGGTTTGATCCAATGTCCTGTAAGCAGTACACAGAGGTGAGGCAGAAAGAACACTTCAAGCCCTGCTAGGCTGTCTAATTTGAAGCCAACTTGGTAGCTCTTTTCAAACAACAACAAAAATCCAAACAAACAAAACCAGTGTCAGTAGTTTGCTACATGATGATGCAGAAAGAATGTGTTTAAAAAGAAAGAGAGAAGAGGACAATGCGAGAAATGGCAGGCAGGTATGGGAAACATTTCAAGGAATTCTGTGTGGCATTCCTGACTTTCCCATGACTCTAAAATTATTTATAAATCAAAGGAAGTAGAAAGAGAAGAGGGACAGAAAGGAATGGGAAGGGAGGGGAGGATGAAATGGAAGCCCAGAAGGAAAGAGGGGATAAAATAGGCTACAGAGAAGGCTGCAGTTGACTTCTCATGGCAATCTGCCATTGAAATACCCTTTCTGATGTCTCTTGGGACAAATTCTTGCTAATCCTTGGCACTCCTCGGTGGTCATCTCATTTAGTCCTTCAGAGAGATTTGGTGATGTTTGTTACTCTCCCCTTTGATAATGGCTTCTCCTGTAACTAGTCTATCCTGTCACAACCAAATTCTGATTGTCCCTTTTATATCTTAATTGTTGCTGTTTTATGAAGTTTTGTCCTTGATTTCTCTTCTTTAGAGTATATACACTTTTTTGCAGATTATTTAATATACCTCATAATCTATACCAGTTCAGGCTTCTACCTCCATCTCCTGAGTTTCTGGCTTATGAATGTGCCATGCAGTGTCCTCTTTGTTTATGACACTAGAGACTGAAAATCAACAGGGTCCACAGCGTCATTGCTTTTGTTGTCACATTTGGGCTACGCTAACAAAAGACCAGAGAGAACAGATTTCAAAGAGAGATGCTTTGTTGGGGCTATGGTTCTGGAGGTCACAGTTCAAGATGGCCTCTGGTATGAGTGAAAGAAGAAACTGGTGGGAAGACAGGGCTAGAGCAAACGCCATCACACTGTGATCCAAGGGACAAGCAGGAAGGGGTTGAGTAGCTCAGTCTCTAATGGCAAAGTCCCAATGATGTAAGTGTCTCTCAGTAGGCTCCACTGTGATGGTTATCTGTCATCTTGGAAGACTCTAGAATCCCTAGAGATGTGCCTCTAGGTGTGCCTGTGGGAGAGAATCTCAGTCACATTAATGGAGTTAGGAAGGCCCACCCACTATGATAGGATTATTCCCTGAATGGGATCTGGGACTCTCTAAATGGAGAAAGGGAGCTGAGAAGCAGGGTGCAACCATTGCTCTTTTCTTCTTGATTGTGGCTATGATGTCACCAGCTGCTTCAAGTCCCAGCTGCCTTGATTTCCCGGCCATGAGGGCTACCTTTGAATTGTGAGCTGAAATAGACTCTCCCATCAATTGATTTTATCACAGAAACAGGAAAAATTAAGACCCCCTCCCCACCTTTTCAGTATCCACTAATCCCTAATAGCACCACACTGACAACCAAGTCTTCCGCATACAGATCTTGATGGACATTCACCGAGAAAGAATTTACCTTCCTTGGCCCTACCTGTGGTGTTCCAAGGCCTGATTAGGGCCTTTTCGGTTTGTTTGTCTCTAAGAAGCATTCCCACAATCACCAGCTATCCATGCCAGAGCCTAAGCTTAACTTCCCCCTCTCTCCTTGTGAACACCCTTGTTTTGGAAGCTGACATGACATTGATGGCTCTAAAGTGGATCCTGTCACCGCAGACAGTGGAAAGCCTCACAACACTTCCTTCTACCCAAACCTCTTTAAGAGCTTTTGTAATGTGGCCACTGTTTACCTTCTTCCTTTATCTACCAGAAACTCACACACATTCCTCAGCATTCAACCCTTTTTTTTTCAGTTTCTCAGGGATGACAGTTTTTTTTTCCCTTTATCATTTCCTGTGATATTCTCTATCTTTGGTTCTTCAACTTTGTCATGAACACTCTTCTTTCTAAACCCTAAGTAAATTCTACTTCGTTTCTGGCCCCCACTGTGGGGTCTTTAGTGTGTGGCTTCCCTCATTCTCCTAAGCCCATGTGCCCCACCTGTGACACCTCCATACCTGTGCACATCAGAGCCAAGCCCTTCCTCCTCCCTGACTTATTGGCTCTGAGAGATCAGACCAGTTTGCTTTACAGTTCCACTCTAAGTGCTTGTCACGGATTCTGGCAGATAGCTGATGCTCAGTGGCTGGTTCCCAAAGAGTGAGAGTAGGGAACTTTGTCCTCCTGTCAGCTGCTGAACACAGCATGTCATTGGCTTAGCTCCACCTCTCATAGCCAGCTCTTCTTCCATGGCTACATGTACCTTTGTGTGACTTCCACGTGCAACTTTGTTCTTTGCCTTGAAGCACCCACATAGGTCCAGTTCCTTTTCTGGGTTGTGATCACAGCTGAAATTCGCTAGTGTGCCTGCCTGTTCTGTTGGTTTCCTTCCCTCCATCATAAGCACCCCTGTCCTTCCAACCATTCCATGTGAGAAGTTGCCTTTTGCTATGTGAGCTCTTTTTTTAACGACCTTTGTGAAGAATGGCACCCATAGGTGGTCAGAGAATTCCATTACGTGGTGAAGACCCTCAGGTGATGGTAACAGCATTTGCTTGATTACAATTTTAAACACTGATAGACAGAATACTTTGATTTTGTTATCTTTGCGTCTATGGATACCGCGACTAGAAATAGCTGCGGTAGTTTTCACATTGCCTGAGGAATATTGAGCAACACCGAACAGTGGGCTTTCCTTACACCTTCACATGCTGCCCTAGTTATTTTGTACACCTTGAGGAAGTGTGCAGTAACAACCTACCCCTGTAACAGCCAAGGAAGTCATCTGTTCAAGGTCCCGTGTTTGATGAGAGGTTGTCAGGTGTTGACAGACTTTTCTGAGTTCTTCTGTGACGTTCAGAGCTGCACCCCAGTTCTTCACAACATCTTGTGACTGCCTCGTTGCTTCTCAGTTCCCAGCACCTGCTATGGGGTCTGCTGTGCAGAATTCTCTGAAGGCTTGTGCTCACAGCTTTCTCCTGATGCAAAGATGGAGGATCCTTCTGTAGATGCTCCGGTTAGTGGTTCCACAGGATGGAAGAGATTAAGAAAAAAACCATAAAACAAAAACCAAACCCAGCCACTATCACCATAAAACAGGTAGAGACCAGCAACAATAGGAGAACAAGACTCAATATATCATCTATTTATATTTTTGAGTGAGAGAAACTTTGAGCAGAAACTCCAGGTTAATTTGTCATGGAGGAGAGAGAAAGGACTGTCTGTCACAGATGTGTTCCCAGTTCTGCTGGGACTGGGGGGCTCATCCCACATAGGTAGAGGTGGCTAATTTCAGGGCTATGAAGTCAGAGGAGTGCAGCTCCTCAGTCATGTCCAGTACATACATCTTCGAATCTTAAAGTTCTTCAAAACTTTAATTATTTTGCATTTATCTATTTTTGGAATGTAATTGAGTAAAAAGACATAAGTTGCAACACAGCTTTATTCTTTAGATAATTTAAACAGGTTTGGATATTCTCAGTGCATCTTTCTGAATGTATTACAAATGGTAATGAAAGTTTGTAAGTCAATAGTATTATTAGTGCCTGGGAAAAAGAAGTAGATGAAAATATTGACTCAGCATGGTGCATTAACATCTCATTTTTCATCATCTGATCAAAGTTTCATCAAAACATTAGCTGTATGTTGTATTTTTGGAATAATTGCTTATAATAGCTTTTAATTCTACGGTTCTAATGAAGGGAGATTTCTCCAGTAGAAACAAACAATCCGTACTTTGCCTTGAAGAGCTGGTGGTTTCTTGCTAAACTTGGGGTGGGCGCTTTAAGCTATGACTCACTTGTGAACAACCGGATTTTTCCATCTTTGTTTTTCAGGATTTGGAAACATCTCCCCACGAACTAAAGGTGGAAAAATATTCTGTATCATTTATGCCTTGCTGGGAATTCCCCTCTTCGGCTTTCTGTTGGCTGGGGTTGGCGATCAACTTGGGACCATATTTGGAAAAGGAATTGCCAAAGTGGAAGACACATTTATTGTGGGTACCACAATCTTTTTACTACATCTATTTGCTATTCTTTTTAAAAGACATTACTTCTTCTAGGCCTTAGATGAGGTAGAAATCCAGTTGCCATTTACATAACAATTTTTTACGGCTCCCCTCTCAGACTGCTACTCATTGGATTTCAGTTATTTACATACTTGACTGAGAGAAACTAAAAATTATGTACAAGAAAACAGATCCATATCCTTCCTGGGTTCTACTTGGAGTTGTATGATATCCTAATTATATTCTGTGTGTGTGTGTGTGTGTGTGTGTGTGTGCGCGCGCGTGTGCACATGTGTGTGTAAAAGTCAAAGGGTGATCTTGGGTGTCACCTCAAGGTCCATTCAATTTTCTTTTTATACAAGGTCTTTAAATGACCCAGATTCTCACTGGCTGATTGGTTGCTGAGGTCCTCAGGACCTGTCTGTCTCTGCCTCTCCAGGACTGGGGGTTACAAGCATGTGCCACCACACCTGGCTTTGTTTTGTGGGCTCTATGTGTGGAACAGTATTTTCATGTTTGTAAGGCCAACATTTTACATAACTGTTCTATCTTCCCAGGTCCCACCTATGTTTTTTAAAGTAGTTAATTTTCCTTCAAACTTCTTTTTTATTTATGCATGTACATGGTTCACAGATCTTGGTGTTCATAGAGGTCATAAAAGTGTATCAGAGCTCCTGGAACTAGTTACAGATGGTAGTGAGCCCCTGTGTGGATGCTGGAAACTGAATACAGGTGCTCCTAACTGCTGAGACCCCTCTATAGCACCACATCTTTATTTCCTTATTTGAGCAACTTTATCAATAACTTAACATTGTTCTAAGCAGTAAATGTTAAAACTTAACTCTTGAAGCAAGTAAATGGCAAGACTTTTATTTTGAAAAATTGCTTTGGCACCTGTCTTGGTTACTGTTGGCATTGATATGATATGTGGTCCATTGAGGCAGGTCATAATAATAAATAGTAAACACAAAATACCTTGATGGTAGAATTCGGTCAAACATAACTTCCTACAAAATGTAGCAGTTTAGAAGAAGCCAAGAGAGTAAACATGAGGGTGTTTGTGATCGTGTTATATTTAGGAGGTATGCGGATAAAATTAGGATGCTATTATTGAAGCTAACAGAGGGGGAAGTAGTGGTGGTGGTGGTGCATGCCTTTAATCCCAGCTCTCAGCTTTGGTGAGGCAGAGGCAAGGCTCAAGGCCATCCTGGCCTACAGATCAACTTCCAGGACAGGCGGGGCTGTACAAAGAAAAACCAAAGGGGGTGATGCTATTACTGAATCTATGATTGTAAGTTTGTACCCCAGAAGAAAGTCATGGAAGGATAAAAAGGTTGCATTTTCACATGGTGTTAAGAATCTCCTCTCACCTGTCCTGCAAAGCATCACATTTATCATTCCATTATTCTTTTGTCATTCCATAGAAGCTCCGATAAAACACATCTTCAAGGTTCCTCTATTGAAATGAAACTATTGACTCACCATTTTAACTTTAACATTAGAGATTTAAACTACTAGAGATCGGAGTCAGCTCTGGTCATTCTTACTGCTGGAGTGAATGAGATACGGCCCTTCCCAAACAGGGCTCTCCCTCCTCTTGCGCATATTGGACTCCAGTCATTCACACTCACCAGGAAGGCAGATCCAGTGCATTGCTTGGTAGTAATGAATAGCTCATTCCTACATTCAGTGGGACTGGCCACGCCATCCTCCACAGTGTTTGCCAACCATGTGCCTGCTGGCTGTTTGCAAGCCTTCACGCCTTCACGGTGGTGCCATTCCCGTTGTTATGATGGTTGATGTCAAACACTTTGAAACAACTTTCAAGATATGAATTTACTCAAGACTCTCAGATGAAGATGGTAGATGAGAGAGCTCCCTGTGGTCATTTCCATTCTGTGATTTTGTACATGTTTATCTCCATAAAGATCTCACTCTATTATTAAATAGTTTTCATTTTTTAAAAAATTAAATTACACTTACATTTATTTGTATGTGCCTGTGTTGCTCATGTAGAGGTCAGAGGACAATTTGCAGGAGTTGGCTCTTCTTCTATCATGTGGGTCCTGGGCTTGAACTCAAGTCTTGGTGACAAGCACCTTTATCTTTTGAGGGTGACAACCCCCCTCAGTTGTTCCCACAGGGCTACTGCGGTGCATAAGACAGAGTCAGTCAGTAAATAAAGCTGCATCACAGCAGTGCCAGCGCGGCTTACTGGAGAACACACCTACAATCCCAGCGCTCTAGAGGCTGAGTTGGGGGGTCCTGGCAAGTCTAGATTACACCACAGGGACATTTTGCTTTAAGAAATAACAAGAAGATGACTAATCTCAGAGAGCTGCAGACAGACCCCCTTTCATACTTTACATTATAGGGAGTTCTTACTGAAGAAGCATGTAAAAAAAAAAAAGAACAAAACAACAACAAAAAAACAGGCCCCATGGTGACAGGCATGGTCAGAGCTGTGAAGTCCCCCCTTGGCTTGCAGATCTCATAGTTTTGTAGTCCCACAGGCAGCTGGCTCAGCTGGGACTCAAAGGCAGACTTCCTTAGTGTCATAGCCTAGTCAACCAAATGAATGCCATTATCCATGTCCCCAGTTTTCAGCTGTGAATGTGTAGTACTCGCCTGGTTTCTCAGTTGTCACATTTTCCTCAATTGTACCTAACCCACAGTTAGCTGTGTTCCCACAGTGTAGACTGCTTTCACTAAACGGTTCAGGTGAGTGACCCTTCACACCTACCCAGCGCCACCCTCTCCCAGCCAATGAGCAAATGTACTATCATTTTGAAAAGAATATTTTACCCTTGGCAAAGCTATGAAGGTGCCAAGTAGCATTATTTATTGACATTGGTTGTTTTTAACTGTTTAAATTATACTCGATTCTAATGAGTAAAGATGGCTGAATAGGAAGGACAGAAGGGCAGGAAGGAGTGTACTCACTCATGTGACGGCACTTGGTCTTGCGGGCATATGAGTAACCTCTGTCTACCCCATGTCTCTGTCTTTCCAGAAATGGAATGTTAGCCAGACCAAGATCCGCATCATTTCCACCATCATCTTCATCCTCTTCGGCTGTGTCCTCTTCGTGGCTCTCCCTGTGGCCATATTCAAGCACATAGAAGGCTGGAGCACTCTGGACGCTATCTATTTTGTGGTTATCACCCTGACGACCATTGGATTCGGTGACTACGTAGCAGGTAAGGATTTGGATTCTCTGGGCTGTGGCTGCTCTCCAAGCCCAAGTCTATCAGTTAAGGATCACTCTGGTTGAAATCGGAACACAAGGCTATGTGAGACAGGGCGGCCAGGCCAAATGTCACAGCAAGGTGGCTTTAAACAGGGAGTCCCTGCATCCCTCTGAGACTGCGGGTAGAATTCCTTGCCTCTTGCTAGTCCTTGGAAGAAGCTGCTAGGTCTCCCATGATCCTTGGTTCTCAGTAGACTCATTCCTACCTCAATCTTGCCAGTTTGTGACAGCCCCCTTGCTTGTGTTTCTAGGTGCCAATTCTCCCCTCTTTCTAAGAGCTCAGTCACTGGGTTAAAGACCCACCCTTCTCCCCTGCAAGCTCATCTTTGCTAAGAACAACTGCAAGGACCATGTTTCCAACACAATCACATTCTGTGATACATGGGAGTTGGGGCCTCACCATGTCTTTGGGAAGGACATGATCCAGCCCCTAATAGTGACTGCCATGAATAGTGATTCCTTTACTCTGGAGGGAGACAGAAGGATTAAGCTGAACTCATTTATGTTTTATTTTGTGAAATAAGTAGAAATGGCTGGTTGTATAGAATTTTGCATTTCTAGATTAATAAACACTAAATACCTATCTTTCTTTTTGGTATAAGAAAGTTCAACTCTTCTTCATCCTTTTTACTTTCTTTTGCCTTCATTTGTAAAACTTTGTCAGCTTCAGAAAGTGATTTTATTCTTGGCCACCGAAGATCCTCTTTTGCCTCTGACACTGGAAGGTTTAATTCTCAGTGCAGGGCAGTAGTTGCGACCCTGGCTGAAGTGGGTCACATGGTTATCTACCTCATTCATATCACTTGATTTATCCTTTTCTATGTGCAGTGTCTGCTCTTTATTCCCTTGTTGTTTCTCTGTCTTACTGTATCAGTTCAGACCTTAGCTGTGTGGTTCCAATTCATTTTTGTGTTTTTGTGGATATGATCATGTGTGTGTATGTGGGTACATGCATATGTATGTATGTGTGTATGTGGGTACATGCGTATGTATGTGTGTGTATGTGGGTACATGCGTATGTATGTATGTGTGTGTATGTGGATACATGCATATGTACGTATGTATATCTATGTGGGTACATGCGTAGGTATGTATGTGTGTGTATGTGGGTACATGCGTATGTATGTATATGTGTGTATGTGGGTACATGCGTATGTTTGTATGTGTGTGGGTGGGTACATGCGTATGTATGTGTGTGTATGTGGGTACATGTGTATGTATGTGTGTATGTGGGTACATGTGTATGTATGTGTATATGTGGGTACATGTCTATGTATGTGTGTGTATGTGGGTACATGCATATGTATGTATATGTGTGTGTATGTGGGTACATGCGTATGTATGTATGTGTGTGAATGTGGGTACATGCGTATGTATGTATGTGTGTGAATGTGGGTACATGCGTAGGTATGTATGTATGTGTGTATGTGGGTACATGTCTATGTATGTACGTGTGTGTATGTGGGTACATGTGTAGGTATGTATGTGGGGGGGTACATGCGTATATATGTGTGTGTACATGTGTATGTATGTATGTATTTGTGTGTATGTGGGTACAAGCATATGTATGTATGTGTGTATGTGGGTACATGCGTATGTATGTGTGTGTATGTGGGTACATGCGTATGTATGTATGTGTGTGTATGTGGGTACATGCGTATATATGTGTGTGTATGTGGGTACATGCATATGTATGTATGTGTGTATGTGGGTACATGTGTATGTATGTATGTATGTATGTGTGTGTATGTGGGTACATGTGTATGCATGTATGTGTGTATGTGGGTACATGTGCAGGCCAGAGTGTCTTCCTTGATCATTCTCTCCTATATTGTTTGAGACAGAATCACGCACTGAGCCTGGGGTTCCTGGATTCAGCGAGAACAGCAAGGCCCTGCATCCTCCTCTGTCTGCTTTGCCAGCTCTGAGATTACAGGGGCATGCTGCCATGCTTAGATATTTTTGCATGGATACCAAGGATCTAACTCACATTCTCATGCTCTTCACTGAATGATCTTCCAGCGCCAAACTTAAATGCTGATAGTAAAAATAAATGTGTGGATGACCCTCCGGGGATCATTTTAATGACATCCCCAAATTCAATGATCAACTAATTTGTAACTCCAGTTTGGAATGATAGAAAATATAATAGGTATATTATGTTGCTATAAAAGAGTGACATGTTATTAAATTCTCAGAATAAGCTCATCAGAATGATTTTGATTTTTTTATTATTTTATTTATTTATTAAAGATTTCTGTCTCTTTCCCGCCACCGCCTCCCATATCCCTCCCCCTCCCCCAATCAACTCCCCCTCTCTCATCAGCCCGAAGAGCAGACCGGGTTCCCTGCCCTGTGGGGAGTCCAAGGACTCCTTCCAGGTCTAATAAGGTGAACATCCAAACAGCCTAGGCTCCCACAAAGCCAAATCAGGAGCAGAAGGAGAGAGAGCACGAGCAAGGAACTCAGGGCCATGAGGGGTGTGTATGTGTGCACGCGTGTGCATGCATGCACATGTATGTGTGATGTGTGTGTGTACACACACCGAATGGAGGTCAGAGGACAACTTGTGAGAGTTGGATTTCCATGGATCTGGTGATTGAATGCAGACTGCCAGGCTTGTGGGGCAGGCACCTTTGCCATCTGAGCCATCTTTCTGGTCTGACCTCTCAGTCTCTAATTTAAATCCTTCCAGAGGAGAGACCGTATTGCTGTCTTTAGTAAAACATCTAAAAGGCTGGAGGTGGTTAGTGTGTGCTGGCATTAAGGTTGAAGTTGCCAGAGCCTCCTTGTGAGGATTGTGTGATATCTTTGAAGAAGTATGTAATTCTTATAGGTAAGGCTGTCCCTCAGAAGCACCAGGTACACTTCTCTCTACCAGGTGAAGGGGCCGGGAGTGAGGGGGCAGAGGGCTAAGGGGCCCTTTTATTGCAGCAATTGTTGAGATGGTGTGAGGCGTCTCAGCCTTTGTAGCTCACATCAGAAGACAGGGTCCTGTCTCAAGATGTTCGCTTTCCTGCCTCCCTAGAAGTTGTATGTGGTCAGCATAAACAGAGCGGAGAAATGTGTTTCTACAGGGGAAACTGAGGCAGCATGATGAAAACAAAAATACACTTACAATTCATTCGTCTTCCCTGGTTACATAAACATAATTACAAAGCCTTGTGAACGGTGTTGTCTGTACAGACATTAGGTGGTAAGTCTTACACTTCAGGCCAATAGCCCAACATGCCATGAGATATTTTAAACAACCCCAGACTGTGTCGAACCGGCTTGTGGCCTTCATGGTCTGAGACGCCTTAAAAATACAAAATTTATAAGAGAAGAAAAATGTGGGTGGAATCTTAAAATAATCATTTCTATGACCACCACCTAGATTGGCTTGGAGCAGGTAAAACCCCAAATATTTTACTTTGTGGTTTTGAAAGACATGTTTTGTTTTTCTTTTTTGTTTTTTTTTTTAAGACTTTCTTTAAATTCATCTCAAGAGGTCAATACTCTTACGCTGAAGAGATCCTGTAAGTCTCCCTGTGGCTATTGCCCCCTGCCCACGGAAGAACATCCCATGGGTCCAGTCCCAGTGGGGTCTCTGACTCCAGAGTCTTGGCCCCATGTCATAGAAGGACAGGGTGACTAGGATGATACTTCTTGACCTGGACAGATGGCTCAGCAGTTGAGTTCTTTCTACTCTTGCAGAGAGCCTGAGTTTTGTCCCCAGCACTCACAGTGTCTCACAACTGCCCCCAACTCCAGCTTCAGAGGATCCGATGCCCTTTTCTGTCTGCTGTGGGCTCTTGTGTAGGAGTGCACAGAAACCCACACAGACACAAATAGGTATTTTAAAAGGAATGATGCATTGTGCAATTGATAACGGGGAAAACAGCGTTTCCTGCCACTAGTATCTTGCTATATTGAACCCCTCGCCAAAGGCATTACTTTCGTCTCATGTTTATTTGTAAAGGAGTTCTTTAAAAGATAGAAATCCATCTTTGGCTAAAATGACTAGTGGTGGCTAGAGAGATGGCAGTGGTTAAAGACCTGCAGGGTGGCTCACAGCAGTCTGCAACTCTGGTCCCACGGGATCCATCATCCGCTCCTGCCTCTTTGGTCACTGCACTCATGTGATGGACAGACATGTAGACAAACGCTCACACACATGAGATTTTAGAAAAGATGAAAAGGAGGGAGAAGAGGAGCAGTTCACTCGGATCTGTTTCTGCTGCCTTGCTCTATGTTGGTGCTTGTGAACACAGAGCTGTGTTCCTAGGGCTGCGGGCATCTGTGCCAAGTTCTCACCCCCACCCCCGTTTCAGATAGATGTGGAGAGGCAGGGCAGGAACCATGTGCCCTTTGCCAGAGTCTTCGGAAAACAGAAACTATGTTTATCTTTCAAGTTTCTTGAGAAGGGGTTGCCATGTGTAACTCCACAGAGTCAACACAGTGCGTCTTTGCTCATGGGGACCTGCTGAGCTACGGCAGGGCAGGGCTCCTCTGAGGAATGGCTGGCTCTCTGCTTTGTAGAGCTTCCCTCTTGCTGCCTATTGTCCTGACCCATAATGCAAGAGCCAGCACGCCACCTTAAGCCCTCTAGATACTCCCTACAAATCTTAATTTTCTGTTTCTGCTTCTGCTTGTGTCAGAGCATGGGGCAGTGGCTGGCTGGTTACCTTGGTGACTGACATTGAATCCTTCTGGCTGATCCAGTCTGTCCTCTTGCCCATGCTCAGTGTCCTGGGGCTAAGAAGGAGCAGTGGGGGTGGGGTGGAGCTAGGTGTTGGCTTGTGTTATGGGCAAGAGCTGCTCCGCACAGCACAGAGGAGTGTGGGCAGTAGCTCTACCCGAAACGGAAAAGGGGGAATGAGATGGCTTAGCCAGTGCCATCGACCTGGTTTTGAAACCGTAGTCAGAGCGGTAGGGATGAGTTAAAATGCACTGCAAAGTCGCACCTGA